CGACTTTTATCTTTTCATTGATTTATCTTGACCTTTCTCAGAAAAACTGTGACAGAAAATATAAATACTATATGCTCATTCTCTATATAGCCTGTATTAGTGACTGAAATGATATTTATGATTTATGCAAAGCAATTGATTTAGAAGCAATAATACTCCAAGATTTATAAGGACATTCCTTTCCCAAAAACAATTTAATAAGAGATTTTATTGTTTTTCGTAGATGGAAAAACAATATAATCTCTTATTAAAACAGGAAAGTTTTAGTGTTTTATGGTGTAAGAAAGTTTCGCGCATTATTTAAAATGTTAAAAGCACAAATTAAACAATAACAAAAAACAAACAATGAAGATTATTTTTTGCAAATAGTTTTGTTTTTTTAATTCTTTCCTCCTATGGGCACTAACTAATAAATTTTTCTATGTTTATCATGGGTTCATCAGATTTAGACCTCACCGAAAAATTCCTGTTCCCGTTCCTCACCCGAATCCTATCCCGGATCCCCAGGACTTAGTTTGTTAAAACTGTCGTCCCCGTGAATAAAACAGGTAAAAACACATTTTTCTCAAAATAATAAAGAAGGACTCTTTTTCGACTCTCCCAGCACTCGAATAGGAAGTTAAAGAAACTTTAAAAGATCCTATAATTTTCAATTATACTAGAATATAAAATTTAAGTAATAACAAAAGCTTAAATGGAGTAATTTTGTCGAATTATGATAAAAATATCCATTTAAAGACTATTTAAGTTTAACGAGTAATTATTAATTGTACAATGTCAGGCTGCAATTTTTTAATCGTATTTTTAATTTTTTAAATTTAAAATATAAGCTCTCCACCTCAAATTAGTTGTTGCTTGTCCCTGTACGTCATACTTTTCCTTTAATTATAGAGAATTTAATTATCTACCACCTTTCAAGGGAAATTTTTGAATTGAAATAATATCATTTCCAGTTGCATCGGATGTTCGCTAGTCGGGACTTCCTCCCGCTACGGTTTCCATATCTAGTGTCGTCTTCCATCTATTTAACTTCGTTCTCGAAATTAAGGAAAGACAGACAGACGGGCGATAGTAGTAAATTATAGGTTTACAAATTTTTTAAATTGCGTCCAGAAAACACTGTTACACTCAAAATTAAAATTGTGTATGACGCCATTTGTTATGAGATGTAATAAAAAAATATATTTTATATTATTAATTTGTTTTCAGCGTGTAGACGTGATCTTAAGGTCTTAAAAAGATTGTAAATGCCAATAACGAGTAAAATTTTCATTAAGTTCCATTTCACTTGGGATATGACATTCTATCCATTCTACCTCCCCACATTTGACACGATTACAATACTTTCCCGTTATATAATAGCTGGAAAAGTATAAATGTAATAAAAAAGTTAATTACATATTTCTATAAATTAAGATCTTACAGACAATACTGAAAAAATCTTCGGAAATATTTCATCGCTGTAATACTAATAATAATTCGTTTTTAGACTATCATTTCAACCCATTTAATCATACAGATATTAATAGTTTATTGATACCGTAGTGTAAACACATGTAGTATTAGTGTTGTAAACACACTATATTAGTATCATAAGATTCGATTGAGAAATTAGACAGTTAGCTTATCTTTGTTATTAGTCATTTTTATGATTCTTTATGAAATATTTCAATCAAAAGAATAGGAATAATGCAAATTGTGAAGTTGCGAATGATTATGTGAATACGGGGGTGTAAGGCTCCCGTTCAATCGTCAGGATAAGATGTCAGGCGAGTGTAAAGAGAGGTGATTGGGGTCGACGATAAGGTGAAGGGCGAGATCGAGTAAAGGAGTCTACCATTTTTCTAACATATATAAAATAACAATTTATTAAAGAATAGGCAAAATGACAAAAACTACACAAAGCTCTATACCGACCTAAAGTTTCTATACTGACAGAGGGTTTCTATACGACAGAGAGAGTTTCACAGTGCTTTCATACCTCTGTATAGCCTCCACTTTGACGATTCTGAACGTGGATGCCTTTAAAATATCGATCCAAGGAATAATCCACAAATACGGCACAAATTATATAAAATCGCGACTTAAGCGCTCATTTAATTCGAGGTTCATCAGAGATCGGAATTCGGCTGATTCGGAAAGTCGGCACGATGTTGTTAATCCTGCGTTCGGTAATAGACTCCCTTGAGAGGGGGGTAAGAACGGCCTTTTATCCGTTTTAGTGGGGAATTTCCACCACATGATCGGATGTACATGAGTTAAAGGGTTATAGGTGTTCCAAGGATATACAACAAATGACGACATTTAAATGCTAACTATCAACCTTTTTGCAAGATGAGATGCAAGTTCTGCAGAGAACAATGGATGTTGCTACTTAAGACCGGAAAGTTTACACAATCCCGGGCAAGATCGTTTTTTCTTCTGGGGCGTTACATAAACAAAAGTTTTAATTAATTAACAATTTTTGTTAATAAAAAAGCGATATTTCCTTCACCAATATTCCGGATCTCACAATTACGTCGGCCGGGATCAGTGCTGTCAGATGTTTTTAAAAAGTGAAATGAATTTTTAAAAAATAATGTTAAAAAACGCGTTTATTCCAGAAAAATTAAAAACTTTAACAACGTTTCTCATAACTGAGACCCAGAATGGTAGTCGAGGCCCTAACAGCCTTGGTCATTAGACCGTATAAAATGATTTTGTTATAACAAGCAAAACTAGAAGAAAACACTATCGCACGATAGCTGGAAATTTTTGTTTTTCGAAAAAAAAATACAGTAATACCTCGACTTACGCTACCCCGACTTACGCGAACCCGGAGTTACGCGATTTTCAAATCTCGTCGATTCGTCTTTTGTTTGAGCACCACTCAACTCTTGATTACTCACTCCCCCCACACTATCGTTCAGCTTACACGTTCGGACGTGTTGCGCGGAATCGACACATAGCTACAATTTGTTTTGTGTTATTTATTTCCGTGTTTGTTATATCTATGGAGACTTAAGAGACTCTGTGTGGTGATTTCTTGTAACTGTGAACGAATCAAAAGACGAGATAAGATTAACGAGAACATTTATTAGCTTACATACATCCGACTTGGATTTTACACAAATTGCGAAATTATACCCCGACTTACGCGAATTCGACTTACGCGGTTATCGCTCGGTCCCACCTATCGCGTAAGTTCGGGGTATTACTGTACACAAAAGTAAACATTTGGAAGGCGAAGATTGTGTTAAAGACATCTAATTATCATGTACGAAAGAGAAAGGACTGAAAACGATTGTCAAAAAGTCGAGGACCACTTTATAACATTACTAGATTTAACTTAATTTATGCTTTAGAAACATATATAGACCAAATATAAAGAAGAAAACGTTAAAAAAATATATAAAGATTGTATCATGTTATCCAATTTAAATAGATTAATAAGTTTATAATAATTTGCAAATATGTGTATTAAAAGTTTAATAAAACCGGAGTCTAATAAAACCATTTTACTATTTAAATTGGATTCAGAAAGATATTTTTTCTAAATTATCAAAACCTTTTGCTATTAATTTTACTAATAATTTAAAACTAAAAGAAAAATTGTCTTACAACTTTATTTCATTATAAAAATTTGATAGGTTACATTAAATAAAATTGTCTTTCTGAATGAATATATGAATAAATCGGTTTCTTTCAAAAATATTTTAAGCATTAATACGGTCTCTTTAATAAATTTGAAATATTTGCGTAAAGACATATTTCATAAAATGCGTTTTCAAAGCAACAGAATAGCATTAACCTTAGGATAGCAAAGCATCAAAATTAATTATATGATAAAGATTTTCATCTAAAATTCGGTAAATTTATAAAGTATAAAGATTATTAAAATTCATACAAATAAAATAATCGCTTTAAAGTAAAAGTGTATTCACGTTCCGTCTTTTTCTCACTTGTCCGGAACACGACAAAGCTGCAAGGCGAAATTGGCCTTTATTTCGAAGTTCTCCTTAGCCTTAATGTGTAAAACTCGTAAAAATGGCGGCACAATGATAAAACATATAATACTTTTTATTAAATATACGTTTTCTTTTTTATTGTGCCGTCACCAGAAAAACATTTTTAACGAGTTGTACGTAAGTTTTTAGTGGAGTGTCACAAAATGGCCGTCCGTCAGCTGACAGTTCTAAAAATTCTAAAAGTATCATACCATAGATTATATAAGAATCATTTCTGAAAGCTGTAATAAAATATTTTGATCTTTACCGAAGTAAGAATTTTCTTTCTGTGCTATTTTTAACTTTGATTTTCATTTCAAATGTATACAGTAAATGGTGTTTTAATTACGCTGTTACGCTGTAATCCTGCACTATTCTATTTATTTAAATTATGCTGTAACTTAAATAAATAGAATAGTGCAGGATATACAGCAATAGGATAGTTATACGCGTATCTAATACTCGATATACAAAATGTAATGTTATAAACATTACAGTTTTAAGTATTTATAATTTATATTCAATAAGTTAAAACTTGCGTATAGAATATTCATTCTTACAATTTATATATTATAAAGTATAAATAAATAGCAGTGGTCAGCTCATTACCCTAATTTTCTGCCTTTAATGCAAAAATTCGCAACCGGATATCTTACAGATATTACAATCTTCATGTGAAATTGATATTGATTTTGTCGTTAATTTTTATTTATTTAACATTATTACCTGTAGTTTTTTACTCCCGTCCTAAAGGTAAACAATAGAACATCTCGTCACAATTTATTACGATATGATGACTTCTTGGCGTGGCAAAAATAATCAAAAGGCAGGAAATTGTAGTAATGTGATAAGTTCTGAAAGACAGTCACTGACGGAACAAAAATAGCTGTTTTTTGCTGATGGGCAGCCATTTTATGGAGTCATGACTATATCGCAGAAGCTCATTTAATACGTTATAGATAATTATAAAGCTTATCCAAAACCTTTAGAAATTTTATAGTTGAAATAATATACCTCTAGCACTCTGTTTAGATAATAGTCTTTGTACGATATTATCGTAAGCTTGCTCCACGGCAACTCCAGAATCTTTGATTAATCTCTCTTTGATGGCAATACAAATGTTATTCTCGGCCAATAACTCTTCTAAAACACTGAATGCCTGAAATCAAAGATATTTATTATTACTTGTGATCTATATGATACAGGAAATAAAGTATTATAGACACCTTCACTCCATAATTGGATTCTTCGTAGAGGATGGAGATGTAAGCCCACTTCAGTCTCTTGACGATCTCTATCATAGCATGAGCTTGATTCTTATCAGAAGGAACCGTACGTAGAAAGTACTCGAACCTTTGTTTATTACTCAATTCGGGAGATGTAGAGAAAAAACTCACCTATAAACATTATTACATATTATTATTTAGTATTATTATTTTTTATACTAAAATAAAATATTACAGAAATATAACATCTATTAGGTATTTTTGTCAATATTTTCGTCCTAGAAATAACGTATTATAGCTGCTGAAAATTTTATAGCTTATATAAAAGGAAGTTTACAAGTCCTCAGCATCGTCTAAAAAAGTCATTTTACTATTAAATTATACATTATCTCTACGCAGTAAATAATTTTCCTGTATTCTATACTTTTAGTTAGGTATTCAGCATTTCGTTTAGGCTACATAAATTCGAAAGTCTAAATATCTATTTCATAATTTAGAAATTTAGTTATTTTATGATTAGTCTTCTCAAATTTTCACTTTTACCATATTTTCGCGAAATGACCGGCACAAAAACGGGGAAGACCATCATGCCGGAAATCCCGGGGTTACCGGATGCCGGTAAACTGCGATTAAAATATAAAATTAATCAGATCTAACAAAACTAGTTGTTAATTAAATGTTAAAGAAAATATTCTTACGAGAACAATAAAATAATAACATTGTAATTTGACTGACTTAAAATCAGGAAGAGTTTCCGTTTACAAGACAATAAAACAATTAGCGACGTATTGACAGTAGTAGTAAGTCAGTGTTGGCTAAACTGACCATCCACCCCGACTTTAAAAATAACACCTTCCTCTCAAATGTCACACAAAGCCGATGTTAATCGGTGTAAGCTGAGATAATTTACAGCGAGTTTCTTAAATTTAATATGCTTGTTATTTTTAATCAAATAACAATAAAATACACATAAAAAAGCACTTTCGGAATTTCACGAGTATTTTATGTCGTTAGAAAGAAGACAGAATAAAGAAATTAAACATATAATCGTAGTATTAATATACTATTTAAGACTATAAAATAGCGAGTCTTTCGATGTCCTTTCATACACCTCAGGAAAATAACAGTCTTACGGCGGAGTCGACCTTTTATTAGAGGCTGCTCAACCGACTCCGCCCTAAGACTGTTATTTTCCTGAGGTGTGTGAAAGGACATCGAAAGACTCGCTATTTTATAGTCTTAAACAGTGTATTAATTTTACAATTATAGGCTGGCAATTTTATCATAATCATAATCAAAAATATAATCGTACTTTTCGATGTATTGCTGACGGTTTCCCAATTTTAGAATAAAAACGCGTTCATTTTTACGTGACGTAACTCGTTCGTATTTTTTAATGCGCCCTACAGAAAGATGTATAACCTCACTTAAACCTGCATGCCAGTTTTTACCATACGAAAATATCCAATTTCCTAGTCTCTCCGGTTAGATTGGCATGTCGGTCATTTTGCAAAAATACATTGCCAATGTATTTTTGCAAAATGTATTTTTCCGTATAATTGCCCTCTATAGTTCATGAAAAAGAGGAATAGTTCGTGGACTATTCTGACATTAAAAAAAAAGTAATTTTTAAAAGTTTTTCAAATATTTTCTATGCCTCAACTCCTTCCTCTCCGTCGTAAGTTATACTTTTTGCGACCCTCTCCTCTTAAATTGTATATACAGATATACCTCGACTTACGTCGTTTCGAGTTATGTCGTTCTCGATTATACGTCGTTTGTCAAAAAATACATGGAAAAATAAAAATCAAGTTTAAGTCATTTCATTCGACTTTACGTCTGTCCGCTACAAATGTTGAAGTCGTAATCTATATATATATATATATATATATATATAAATTAACGTATGTGTGTCTGTCCTTCATGCATTACCAACACCGTTTATCCCAGTGGTTCCCAACCTTTTTTCATTAGCGTACCCCGTGATATGTCATATTTCTAGATTGTACCCCTCATTTAAGAAATTTAGTGAGTAACCGTATTGTTNTAAATACAGCTGTCCCTTGATAGTCCGACGTTTTGTAACCCGACATGCTCAGTAGTCCGACGCACCTCCCGTCAAAGTACTGTACCCGTCCCCGTTAGGCGTCTGCTTGCACAGAAGCATGTCGCGACGTGAATCTCCCCACCAAATTCTTACACGATGACACACATTTCGTGTATTTTCCGTGAGCAGTTCTGTTCGAACAGTTGGAGTAAGGAATATTGTAGGCTACTGCTAGCAAAACAATGCCAAATATGTAACCACTTTCGGTAATCCGGCACCCCTTTGGTCCTATACCTGTCGGATTACCAAGGGGCAGCTGTATAGCTGACGCTTAATAATAATAGTAATAAGAAGTTAAGAATTTTAATATTTAATATAATGATTTTCCTGATGAGTAGTTAAAAATTTGTACTTTTATGTTTACTAATATAAGATACAAAGGCCATTTAACAATATTTTTCTTCAATTTTGATCTCGAATTCGCATATTTCAAAGTACTCGTAACTTGATAAAGAAAATGTAAGAAATTTCAACATTTTCTTCTCTTTTTGTTCAGTTGATTTATTATAAGAATGAAAGCTGAAAACGTAAAGAAGGATGATAAACAGTTGAGAACTTATAAAATACGTTGGAAAAATTTTAAAATACTCCAATATTCAGTTTTGAATTCGATTTAATTTTCTTTTCTTTTTAGTTTTACCTGTTTTTATCTTACATTTAAATCTAACGAGTGAAATTTGAATAAGAGGAAATTCGACTTATTCGTTTCGACTTTTATCTTTTCATTGATTTATCTTGACCTTTCTCAGAAAAACTGTGACAGAAAATATAAATACTATATGCTCATTCTCTATATAGCCTGTATTAGTGACTGAAATGATATTTATGATTTATGCAAAGCAATTGATTTAGAAGCAATAATACTCCAAGATTTATAAGGACATTCCTTTCCCAAAAACAATTTAATAAGAGATTTTATTGTTTTTCGTAGATGGAAAAACAATATAATCTCTTATTAAAACAGGAAAGTTTTAGTGTTTTATGGTGTAAGAAAGTTTCGCGCATTATTTAAAATGTTAAAAGCACAAATTAAACAATAACAAAAAACAAACAATGAAGATTATTTTTTGCAAATAGTTTTGTTTTTTTAATTCTTTCCGCCTATGGGCACTAACTAATAAATTTTTCTATGTTTATCATGGGTTCATCAGATTTAGACCTCACCGAAAAATTCCTGTTCCCGTTCCTCACCCGAATCCTATCCCGGATCCCCAGGACTTAGTTTGTTAAAACTGTCGTCCCCGTGAATAAAACAGGTAAAAACACATTTTTCTCAAAATAATAAAGAAGGACTCTTTTTCGACTCTCCCAGCACTCGAATAGGAAGTTAAAGAAACTTTAAAAGATCCTATAATTTTCAATTATACTAGAATATAAAATTTAAGTAATAACAAAAGCTTAAATGGAGTAATTTTGTCGAATTATGATAAAAATATCCATTTAAAGACTATTTAAGTTTAACGAGTAATTATTAATTGTACAATGTCAGGCTGCAATTTTTTAATCGTATTTTTAATTTTTTAAATTTAAAATATAAGCTCTCCACCTCAAATTAGTTGTTGCTTGTCCCTGTACGTCATACTTTTCCTTTAATTATAGAGAATTTAATTATCTACCACCTTTCAAGGGAAATTTTTGAATTGAAATAATATCATTTCCAGTTGCATCGGATGTTCGCTAGTCGGGACTTCCTCCCGCTACGGTTTCCATATCTAGTGTCGTCTTCCATCTATTTAACTTCGTTCTCGAAATTAAGGAAAGACAGACAGACGGGCGATAGTAGTAAATTATAGGTTTACAAATTTTTTAAATTGCGTCCAGAAAACACTGTTACACTCAAAATTAAAATTGTGTATGACGCCATTTGTTATGAGATGTAATAAAAAAATATATTTTATATTATTAATTTGTTTTCAGCGTGTAGACGTGATCTTAAGGTCTTAAAAAGATTGTAAATGCCAATAACGAGTAAAATTTTCATTAAGTTCCATTTCACTTGGGATATGACATTCTATCCATTCTACCTCCCCACATTTGACACGATTACAATACTTTCCCGTTATATAATAGCTGGAAAAGTATAAATGTAATAAAAAAGTTAATTACATATTTCTATAAATTAAGATCTTACAGACAATACTGAAAAAATCTTCGGAAATATTTCATCGCTGTAATACTAATAATAATTCGTTTTTAGACTATCATTTCAACCCATTTAATCATACAGATATTAATAGTTTATTGATACCGTAGTGTAAACACATGTAGTATTAGTGTTGTAAACACACTATATTAGTATCATAAGATTCGATTGAGAAATTAGACAGTTAGCTTATCTTTGTTATTAGTCATTTTTATGATTCTTTATGAAATATTTCAATCAAAAGAATAGGAATAATGCAAATTGTGAAGTTGCGAATGATTATGTGAATACGGGGGTGTAAGGCTCCCGTTCAATCGTCAGGATAAGATGTCAGGCGAGTGTAAAGAGAGGTGATTGGGGTCGACGATAAGGTGAAGGGCGAGATCGAGTAAAGGAGTCTACCATTTTTCTAACATATATAAAATAACAATTTATTAAAGAATAGGCAAAATGACAAAAACTACACAAAGCTCTATACCGACCTAAAGTTTCTATACTGACAGAGGGTTTCTATACGACAGAGAGAGTTTCACAGTGCTTTCATACCTCTGTATAGCCTCCACTTTGACGATTCTGAACGTGGATGCCTTTAAAATATCGATCCAAGGAATAATCCACAAATACGGCACAAATTATATAAAATCGCGACTTAAGCGCTCATTTAATTCGAGGTTCATCAGAGATCGGAATTCGGCTGATTCGGAAAGTCGGCACGATGTTGTTAATCCTGCGTTCGGTAATAGACTCCCTTGAGAGGGGGGTAAGAACGGCCTTTTATCCGTTTTAGTGGGGAATTTCCACCACATGATCGGATGTACATGAGTTAAAGGGTTATAGGTGTTCCAAGGATATACAACAAATGACGACATTTAAATGCTAACTATCAACCTTTTTGCAAGATGAGATGCAAGTTCTGCAGAG